GTGCTGTCATCAGGAGCAAGCTGAATACCAGACAGAATCTCGCTTTGCTTGTGGCCATTGTATAGTCATCTACATACACGATCGCTCGAAATATTGTAGTACCGATCTCCGGGGCAACCATTCGCAACGCATAGTCCAAGAGGCGTTTCACGCAGCGTAAGCTCGCAGCAGATAGTCTCCCGAAAACGCTCGGGGATGTTACGAGCCCGAAAGGCAGGCAATTGTGCTTGAAGGCTCTGCTGGGATCACGGGGATCCAGAAAGCATAGGAATCCACGTTCGCTCGATTCCACACTAATCAATCTGAATGCTGATACTACGTCCCACTCTAACAACCAAACCTGGCTATCCTCGTCTCCAATACTAGGAGTTGGTCGCGGGACATTAGCCAATAAATCGTAGACATCCCGGAACCTGGGTAGACAGCATGTTGTTCTCAGACCACGGACACTACTATCTTCGCATTTGCTCTCAAGTAGAACTTCAGTACGCACAGTAATACTGATACCACTCCTCCTAAAGTCGTCCAGTTGCCGTATGGCTTTGAACTCCTTCCCATTTTTCCACATCACGTGAACTTTCGACAACGCCTTACAGTCTGGGCTCATCGGATCAATCTCTGATAATCGGCCTAGCCGGAGCTCCTTCGCTATAAGCTCTTCAAACAACCCATACATATCTGGAGAAATGCTACCCTGCGGCCAGTCGCGTAGCCTCAGCTCCTCGAGTTTTCCGCTAGGCCACCGCACGAAGGCCGGCTCGTCCTTCTTTGGTTTGCCAAACTTGTCAGTGTCGACTGCTGGCCATTCCGCATTTTCACGAACCGAGATCAAGATGCCGATTGGTGTTCCCTCAGCTACCATCCGGCAGATTTCCGCGTCTTCACCGGGCGACTCCGTCGTTGCCTCTTTCCCAGGGGCCGTGGTAAGGCAGAGTTCTTCTAGCAGTCTAGCGCGCAGGGGTGACGGGGGGGGGGGGCGGCCAGCTCATCCAGCTCCGATTTATCGATGCCCTTCGCGACGGAGATGAAAGTGGTCAATTCCTCGAGGAGATCATTGGCCACACTATTGAGGGGAGCTCCATCGTCGGCGTTCCACTCCGCACTCATCGCGGACTGCTCTTCCCGAGAGCTGGCGAAGAAACGATCTAAGAAGTCCTTCCGGGCCGCACAAAACTTCTCTGTATGTTTAATTAAAATCCCAGAAATACTCTCTATTGATGGCAGTTCAGATTCTAGAAACTCGAACTTGTCCCACTGCCCTGAGTACCCAGAACCATCTCTAGGCTTTCCCTCAACGGCTGCGGCTGATAACTCCTGGGTCGACGTCACCCAGGGGTGGTCTTCAGGCTTGCCGGCCAACTTTCTGCGTCTACCTCGCTGTTTCTTCGCTTGGGTAGACCTGACGTGTGGCATTTCCCAAAGAAGGATCTCTCTGTTTAGTAGTAACTAAACTGTGCAATGATCGTTCCGAGAACGACGCTTCCTCCGTCCCATTTGTGGTGTTATGACCACTGGCCTAACGCAACACTGACCAGTTTTGACTACGTGATAATCAAACTTCAAGAAATGTCGGAAACTCAGCTTCAATGATGTTGGATTGACACCAAACCACTGCCGCAGCTACTGGCTCTTAGGGTTTTTCCTCGATGGTTCATCTTTCACCGGCCCAGTCCTAGGGCGTTTATCCGGCCCGGGGCTCCTGTCCTTGTCCCCATCTAGACCGTTTTGCCAATAGGGCTTGGCTTGGGGGTCGCCGAAATGTTTACGATAACGGCAATCCCTACCAAAGGGACAGGATTGGCGAGTGAAACGACAAGTGTCAGCACCAAACTGCATAGTACTCCCTTGTCTACGTATACCCTTGCCCGAAGGTGGCCTGGGTATGCCAGAGTGGCTTACAGCCGGCTTAGCCAAGGCCACGGCTATCAACTCGTGAGACTGATTAGATCTCAAGTAGGTACCGAGGGCAGAGTCGACTTGGAGAGAAGGGTCCGTGTCCCGCAGGCGGGTAACTCCTTGTGGCAAGGCTAACCTGTAACCCTTATCATACTCGACTGCTGCCTCAAACGAACGGGACCTCGCTAACCAAAGCAACCGGCTCAGATAATCCTGGCCAGCAAGGAAATCGCACCCAGAGAAGACTGTGATGCATACAACCCACTGCTGCACACACATCAACCATTCAAAGCAATCCTTGGGGTTGCGGCTCTTGGCGGCAGTGGTTCGGTTCTTCTCACCCGACCTGGTCTCAAAGGGTATGGCGGCATTCCGAGCGCCGGTATCGTATACCTTAAGCTCTATATACTGAAGAGGGTCATGCCGTAGGCGGTCGACCATAGGGATAGGAGGGCATAGATGGTCACTCGGAATATGTCCCAATGCCTGCATACAGCGAGCAGCGAAGACCGACCACCCTTTGTCGCCTACGGTTAGCTCAGATTGATTTTTCATCTTTTTGACCACCGTAATGAACACGGCTTTGAACCGAGCCTTCCTCAGCTTTGAGAATATCTCGACCACGACGACACCGTCACCACCACCACCGCGGTTATTGTTGGCGTCGACGACTTCGCTGGCAGTACCGGGACTTTTTGAGGATGGGCTGGTAGACTTCGCATCAGCTACCTCCGTCATAGTGGTTGTGTCGGACTCTCCGTCGGGTCCCCCATCTGCACACCTTCTCAATAGTTCGTCGGTCAGCTCCTTGTCCTCGAGGGCCGCCTCGAGCACACCCACGGTACTAATACCCATGTCAACACAAACCGTCGACGCTTTTTCGGCCAAGTCGGGAAAAAATTCGTGGAAGAGGTCGGGCGTGATGGGAGTGGTGGACATATACAAATAATCTGCGACCAGCTCGTGTAAATCGGAGCATGACTCAACACTTGCATAGCTAGATCCTGTCTAGCCTGGCACGCTAAGCTCAAGTCCGCAGCTTGGTAAGGAACACAGTGTTGCCTGGCTCTCCCTAGAGTGATGAGAGATTGAGCGGACACGCAGGCAAGTCGACGAGTGGTCAGCCACGCGAGGCGGCCGTCCTAAACCCGTAGAGCCACTCTAGCC